TGGCGTGCAAGGAAGTCAGGAACTCTTAGTCCATTCCAGTATCTGGAAGGTGTCAGGAGACAATGTCTTGCTCAGTATTTGTTGTTTGATGATGGATTCTCCAATCTTTCTCTTCTTGACATGCCGCCAAAATCATTGTTTTGCCAATCACTGGGCAGTATTAGAAACATCGAATGGGGGTTCAAGGCTAAATGTCCTTGCCTATCTTGAAAATGGTGTGTGAAGTCAAAATGACCTTTGCAAATCTCCTAAGATGAATTATGGCACATTGGCATTTGTAAAAAAAAAAAAAAAAAGGCCTTCAACAGTTATTTGTTGTGCTATATAGCAAGGTATAATATGCAATAGACTATACAAAGCTAAATATAAGCTTACTACATTTTAAAATAGAGACAGAGAATTAAAAGACAGAAAAGAAAATAAACATATAGTATTGAATTTGCATGAGTTAAATGTATATATGGTTTACTGTTTTATCCTTAAACTGCAGCAGCTGTATGAGCTGTGAAATAGGAAATGTGTGAACTGATGTCAGATGAGTGTGATTCCTAGTTCACACTCCATGTGCCTAGGAGGGCTCAGTAGGCTGCAGTATTTATTGATATTACCTGGGGCTGCTTCCTGACTGCTTCAACAACTGACCAGGGTGAGTATCATTCCTCCTTTTCTCCAACCCGCCCTCATATCACCACAGCCAGGAGTATACTGCTAGCGATGGGGAGTACAGCACTAAGAGAATTCTGTAAGGTCCCTTCAAAACCTTCATAAGAGATCACCTACCATTTTACCCCCAAGGTGGCAGGGTTAGGCATGGTGAGCTAGGTTGTGCTGCAGTATCAGATAACTCTGAAATCCTAGAGGATTAAAACACAAGTCTATTTCTTGCTCCTACCACAGATTGATTGAGGGCACTGTTTCAAGTTCTGTTCATGCTGAAACTCAGGCTGATAAAGCAGCGCTATGTGAAAATGTTATGAAAATGTTATTTGCTGTGGTGGAAGGTGGGAGAAATGAAGAAAATCACATATAGCCTCTTTTAAATTTCCATTTGGAACAGACACACATCACTCTGCACACTTTGCATTGGCACAAGCAAGTCATATGGCCATTCCTTCTACCACAGAGACTAGCAAATGTAATCCCATCTATGCTTAGGAGCACAATTAAAGATATTTCCTGAACCACCGTTACAACAAACATATGCCCCAAAAAGTGAATTCTGCAGGTCTACACTGATCTGGCCTTATGTTCTTGAATAAGCTTCAGGAATTGATGGTTGTTTCAGTTCAGCTACACTGAATGAGTTTCATACTGCAGTGGAGGAACAAATAGCCTTGTCATTCTTTTCCTTTATTTAAGAAAGAAGGATGCAGAGGGGAGGGGGTTGAGAGACTAGGTGGAAGAGGTGAAGGGAATAAAAAGTACAAATTGGTAGTTACAAAATAGTCATACCATAAGAAGTCAGCAATATTTTAATAACTATGGAGGTTGCCAGGTGGGCACTGGAAATATCAGGGGGACCACTATCATATGTAATTGTCTAACCACTATGCTATACTTATTAAACAAATATAAATAATATTAAGTATAAACTTTAATAAAAAGATTAAATAAAATTGTATCTTTAAAAACAATGGAGGGAAGAAGGAGAGAGCGAGAGAGAGAGAGAGGATCCCTAATATTATAGAACTCTAGTAGAATCTCAACTGCCATTTGAGAGCCAGCATGATACATTTTTTAAATTAAATAGCAGAATAATGGGTCCTCCAAGATGCTGATGTTTAAATCCCCAGACCTGTGATTATATTGTTGTGTGGCAAAGTGGAACCAAGATTTAAGATGGAATTAAAGTTACTGCTCAGCTGACCTTGACATAGGGAGATTATTCTGGATTATCTGGAGATTGATGCAATCTCCAGAGTTTTTAGAGGAAGAAGAGGTCAGAGGTTAAGAGTGATATGAAGATGGAGGAAGAGTGTCAGGAGTTGAGGCAGGGAAAGCGGGCAGCCTCTGGAAGTTAGAAAAAGCAAGAAACAGACTCCCTTCCACCTGAAAGCCTCTAGAAAGAATGCAACCCTGCCAACACTTTGACTATCCCGGTAAGACCCATGTCAGACTTCTGGTATACAAAACTGCAAGATAAAATAAACGTGCATTGTTCTAAGCCACTAATTGTGTGGCAACTAATGGTTGAAGCAAATAGAAAGCCAATACAATACCTTCATATATATTTTTAAACTAACTTGTACTTCTGAAACCCTAGCTACTCAAAGATGTTCTGTTAACTATGTCAATAATTAGGCCATGTAATATGTACTTAAATGAAAGGAATAAAAGTAAGCACAATGGTCTGAATGTTATTTAATTTTTTAAAGAGAAATTCTCTCAAACCATATGTCACTTCTTTGATCTCAAAAAAGAAATGTGCAGGTAAAGGTTTCAGTATCTTAGACTTCTTGAAAATATACACAAACCTTCTAACTCATGTGCCCTCATGCTCTAGGTTTTCATTGTTTTCCTGTGGTTGTGTCAAAATCTCTTACAACATCACCTGTTTTTGAAGCTGCTTTTTTAAAATTTTTCATTCAGAGACTATAGTTTGAGAAAAATTGAGTGAAAAACAATGACATCTTGAAATTACATGCTAAGCTCACTAGGGCTAGAACCATTTCTTATGCAAGTCTTGATTAATAACAGTTTGATTTTTCCTTATCATTGACTTTTTTCCCCCAAAAAGCTTGTATATTCTGTCATCAGTTCTTTACATTTCAAAGTTTTGTGGACAAAATAATATTTCTACACAGTATTTTAAAATTCTAGTTCACTTTTGCCTACAAATACCTATCACTGCCAATTAAATATTATAGAAAGGAAATTGTTTCTTGAATTCAAGGAAATAAAGGATCAAATTAACTCATCGAGTAGTTAAGTGAATTTTCTATATGAATAAGGATGCTAATAAGCTAGCTGAATTACTACACTGATTTGTGGAACTATGATGTGCATTGGTGAATAAACAGTAACACTCAGAAGCTCTAATTGGTTTCAGCTGATGTTAAATATTTATTACCATTGTCAAAGGCTACTAAAAAATACAGAGCGATATTATTTGGCTGGCTCTTTAACAGGTAATTTCATAGGACCACAATAGAAATAATCTTGAGGAATCACTGGCATAATGCATCTCTAATATTTTAAAAGCTGCCCAAGCTTTTGAATAGGAATCTAAACCCGATTCAAGCACAGTAATATTTATCTGCAAAACGGGATTTAAAACAAGCAACCTCTTATCAAAAGTGTCTCTATGGGAATGTTAGAACCACAGGGCTCACCCTTTCAGTTCCAATGACCTTTGGCTATGGAGTACATGGTACAGAAAGTGGTCCCTCAGTTTGCTTGACTTTCAAAATGCCTCACACTCGTACCTAAAAACCAGTGGCAATATACTTTTTAAGTCTAAAAGAATCTTCCTGCGGTTTATACTGTCCTTTTTATGCATTAGGGCAGCATAGAAAGACTCGGTGGCATCGTGACCTTGTTGGGTCCCAAGGTTAGAGATTTTTTACTGGAGAGCTGTCTCAGGCCCAGCACGGAACACAGGGCGCCCCTTTTCAGAGCCCTCTGCTATCTGTACAGCAAGGGATGCTTAAAGCACAAATGCCCGTGGAGTTGGGAAAGCTCTGCTTCATTACAGAATATGAACACCTCTCATCTCTAGATGGCAGCCTTTGACGACTTTGAAAAGCAGTATCTGTCCCCCTCTGCCACCCTCACTCCCCTCGCACCTCAATCGTGGCTCCTGGTCAATACAGTACCTGCTCCCTGTGTGCCTAGGCTGTGCCTGCTGGGCTTTGCTGCTCCCCAAGGATGCGCGCTTACAAGATTCATCCCGGTGCCTGATACCTTGGGCTGGGTGCTGCCTGGATGTTTGCTTGGGGGAAGGGGGAGTCCGGACGAGGAGGCTATCCACAGGGAGCCCCTTGCCTGGGAAAGGCGGGGTGCGGGGCACTGAGCCCCCATCACCCTGCCCTGCACTCAGCAACCAGCATCGACAGCGCGCAAGCCGCCTGCCCAGCCGGCGGGGCACCACCAGGGCTACAGCCTCAATTTACCCCTGAGGTTTATGTGGATGGAAATAGAAAAATCTCAGTTTCTCCAATTCGCAAAGGACTTGATCAGAAGGAGCGCAGAACAGGGCAAAGGGTGGGGGGTCGGGAGACAGGGCAGACACAGACCAGAGAAACAGTTGCTCCGATGCTCCCACCCGGCAGCAGCGTCTAAGGGGCGTCCTTGACTCACTCGTGCGGCGACCCCAGGGCTGGGTGGGGTCGGGGAAGGCGGTCCGCTGACGTGGGGGAGAAATCCAGTCTGGCAGGGGGTGTGAGGGCAGCAGAGGCGGGTGGGACTGGGGCGGAGGGAGGTATTTTCTGCTCCTAGTCTGGGGCAGGGGTTAGGTGCGATCTGTCCACCACAGCCCATCTCACTCCACCCCAGACCTTCATCCTCACTCCATCCCTCCCCAGCGACCGCGGACACTCACCCAGATCAAGGTGGACGGAATTGGCAGGGGAGGGGGGTGTAGAGGGAAAGGGGTAGTTTGCCCTAGTCCGGCTTCCTCCTATTTCCACCCGAACCTCGGAAACCCGCCTCCCTGCAAGGTGCGAACCCTCTCCAGGCTGCGTCCGCACACAGCCCGGCTCCAGCCGGGGCACAACACACCCCAGGTCCCGGCCCTCCAGGCGGCTGACCCCCATCGTGCCGCCCCCGCTCCGAGGCCGCACCCAGCCTGGCGCCCCGGGCAGGGCACAGGAACCCTCTTCCCCCAAGCGCTCCTCGCCCAGCCCCGGGCGAATTCATCCGGGGTGCAGAGTCCTAGGTCTGGTTCGCGGGAGCCCCGCGCAGACCCAGGCGCCCCCAGGGCAAGTTTGAGCGACACAAGGGCGAAGACGGAGTTTGCGGGCACTGGGTTGGGCAAAGGGGGAGGGAAGGAAGGGTCTTACCTTGGGACCGAGAGCAGAGAGCTGCCATCCATGGTGGATGGGGGCGCTGAGGAGAAAGGACCTGGTCCCCGGAGCAGAGGGCCGGAGCGCGCAGGGGGACAGAGGCGCGCAGGCTGGGACCGCCCGCCGCTAGGCTGTGGGAGGCGAGGTCTTCCCGGCGGGAGTCGCTCCTTCTAATCTGGCCAGAAGGCTTGGCCAAAGCTACAGCCTTGTGCGCAGCTCCCGCCTTCCTTCTTCCTCCAGGGCTGGCCCAGTCGCGGTTGTCACTCGCTCCTTCTGAGCTTTCCCTGCCGCTCCCGGTGCCCTGCAGAAGTGACTCCAACAGAATTTCTTTCTCCCCGCCCTGCTGTCCTGTCCCCTCCCCTCTCCTGTTCTCTGGGGTACAGCAGCCTGAGCCCTGAAGTTGTTCATCCACTTTCCCAGATTTGCGCTCTGCTCCCGCCCACATTCCCACTGGCCTCTCACCATTCCTTTGGCCCCATCTCTGGGTTTGATTTTTGTTTGTCTTCTACCAGGTAACAATGCTGTTCGATCCCCAATTATTTTCTCTTTAGTTAGCCTTTATGGGTTGTGATTTCCACAGTTCTTCACTTAACTCATTTTGCTTGATTGTGGCTCAGGCATCCTGGGTTTGTTAGAAGCCTGTGTGCACATGGAGACTTCGGAACCAAGGACAGGGGTCATCCTTTAGGGACAGCACCCAGGCCCTGCCAGGAAGGGCTGTCACAGAAATCCCACAGTGCCTGCTTTAGTGTCTCCCTGAGCAAAAATGACAATTGTTTTAGGGGAAAAAAAAACATACATAGCGCTGACTGCTAAGATGATTGTGCTGTTGACTCTGACCCTTAAAAACAAAATTTTCACTACAAAATAAATTAAAAAATATGGACCTTGACCAAGTCTCATGCTGAAATGTAAAATACAAAACTATAACACTTTTACTACAAAACTTAGGAGCCAATCTTTGGAATTTAAGGCTAAAAATTCTTGCACTTGACAACAAAAACACAATCCATAAAGTAAAAATTTGATAAATAGGATTTCATTGAATTTAAAAACATCTGCTATGAGAAAGACTCTGTTAAGGGAGTTCAAAGACAAGCTACACACTGGAAGCAAAGATATGTAGTCAGATATCCGGCCAAAGACTAGTCTCTAGAATATATTTTTAAACCCTTTCAAAGCTCAACTGTAAACAAATCTAACTGAAACTTAGACAAATGTAACTAAACTGAAATTGCCTTCAAAAGGATTTGCAGATGACAAATAAGTACATGAAAAGATGTTCAACCTATTAGACAAATGCAAATTAAAAACAGTGCTATTTCACTATACAACTATCAGAATTACTAAAAAAACAGTGACAAGATCAATTGCTAGTGAGGAAGCAGAGAAAATTCGTTTCTGTCACTCACCTATTGCTGGTGGGAATGTAAAATGTAAAATGTAAACTTCACTCTGGGACAATGAGAGGCTTCTCTTCCCTTCCCCCATTCTTGGAATATGTATTCTGTTTGCCTTCTCTATACTACATGCTGCCCCAAGGACACAGCCTTGAGATAACAAGCTATTGTTGAGACCATCTGGATTGAATCTGTGACTGAATCTCATTCATGCAGCTCTGTAAATGTTTAACGGTGCTGAGATCCACACATCTTGTGGTCAACCAATACAAGAGTTGTATGTAAGTTCCCTTGCTTATTAAGGCTACCTACCACCTACAATCTGGAGTGGTCGGCCTCTTTCTTCAGTCTCTCTTTGCCCTCTGTGTATGGAGAGCAGTTTCAGATTTCACCAGGAAGCTCCCATACACCCTGTTCTCCATAGCACTTGGGAGGATCAAAGTACTCACTCCCACTGAAACCGGTTTGGCTCAATGGATAGAGCTTCGGCCCGAGTACTAAAAGGTCCCAGGTTCGATTCCGGTCAAGGGCATGTACCTCAGTTGTGGGCACATCCTTAGTAGGGGGTGTGCAAGAGGCAGCTGATTGATGATTCTCTCTCATGTTTTTAACTCTCTATCCCTCTCTCTTCCCCTCTATAAAAATCAATAAAATATATATTTTTTAAAAAGTACTCCCGTTATGGATTATTTTATTCCACAGGGAGGCTTGGCTCAATGAGGGGGCCTCCCTGGGCATGTGAGACCCTGGAAACCTAGAGAACATACAACGAATTCTCAGGCAGTTGGGAATGAGACAGGCCATCTGTGCCCCATGATAGAAGGCTCTGATGTGTGATTGTTAAGAGATAAGAAAAATGCCTATGTGCATTCAAAGTCCTAAAAATTTTCTGATGACTGAGACTCGGAGTTTTAAGTTATAAAACAAAGTAGAACGTTTTTGTGTTTTGCAATTGCAATGATCACTGCACCTGTCAAAACAACTGAGCAGTGAGCTTTCACAAAAATGGAGGACATTTGTAAATTTTTGTGCACTGTGTTTAAATAAACAACTGGGAAATTTATATTTTTAAAAAATTCCATAGAGAGCCAAAACCGGTTTGGCTCAATGGATAGAGCGTCGGCTTGGGGACTGGAGGACCCGGGTTCGATTCCGGTCAAGGGCATGTACCTTGGTTGCGGGCATATCCCCAGTAGGGGGTGTGCAAGAGGCAGCTGGTTGATGACTCTCTCTCATCGATGTTTCTAACTCTCTATCTCTCTCCCTTCCTCTCTGTACAAAATCAAATAAAATATATAAAAAAAAAAAATTCCATAGAGAATATGGCATCATGGAACCCTACAAAACATTAGTCTGACTGAAAGTTTTCTTTTCAATTTCATAGTTTTACGAGGGCTCTCAATTCTGGTGCCTGTGGTACTGCTCTCCAAATGTAGTCTGCTACCAATTATGAGAGCAGGAAGAGGGAGGCATCAGTAAGCAGATGGTCCTGGATGGTGGCCATCAGAATTTGCACTCCCAACGATACAGGAGGGCTCCAGGTGCTATTCTTTTAATATGGCCTCAAAACATAGTCAGAAATCATTTATTTTGGTTCTGGTTTCTGGAACAAGTCCAAGGAGCTAGAATGGGAGGATTCTGAAGTTTCGGATTCAAGATTCAACGATATGTTGTACAACTTGGAAAAAATACTCACAGAGCCTACACAGTTCCTACGGGTGCATAAAATGACCCAGATTCACCTGGGTTGGCATGAACAAGCGACCTGCTTAAGCTTTAAGAATGGCTGTAGAAGGGCAATCTGCTCAGCTTTAAGGATAGTTGTAGAAGGGGAGCCAGTGAGATGCGACTCTTTCGGAGTCTGGAAATCAATAGTCAGCGTACTCAAAGGTAGCAGAAAAAAATGAAAAATGGGAAGAAACCCCCACGGAACCCAGCTATGGTCTCTCTTGGCTCTGCTGCCTCCCTGATGTCTGCAGCAGCATCGGTGATGTTGACCAACTCAATAAGACATATTTCAATACTGTCAGCTTAATGTGATTCACATTCAACTTTAACAGTAAATATGTACCTGGACACATTAACTTACACGCATGGATGACTGCTCTTGACCATGATTTTTGTTGTACCATGATTTTGGGGTCAGTGAATCTCATTCCTAGCTATATATCAATGCTTAAGCTCCACAAATACCACTTAATTAGAGTCTTTGGAGATAATACCCAGGCGTCAGCATTCTATGGAAGTTTCTCAGGAGGTTCCAATGTGCAAAGTCTATATGCATCCCTCTCAAGACTACATCAGCTCTTGAAAAGCTTTTTCCAAAAATACCTTATTTTATAGAACAGAAAACAGACATACGGGGAAGTTGACTTGCTTAAGATTTCTTAACAAGTCAGATGCAGAGCTGGGCTTAAAATAGAACTGTTTTAAATCTTCCATTTAAGAAGGCCATATCTGTGCTAGTGACAGTGCCAGGTCAGAGAGCAAACATAACTGTGCTTTTAACTGATCTTAAAGGTTTCCTTTATATATCCTAAGCGTTCCAGCAAACTTTATCAATTTTCATAGCTTTTAAGTATTTATTTGTTCCACATTTATTTATGAAGCTCCTATAAAGTAGCAGACTCCTTTTTGTAGGTTCTTGGTTTAGTATATCAGTAAGTAAACTATTCAACAGCTCTTGTCCTCCGGTTCCTTACATTCTAGTAGGAGGACACACAGTTAACAACACCTATAGAAATATGGGTATCTCCACTTTCCAAAAGTTCTAGTTAAGCCACTGTTTTTATGAGAGTCCCCCGGGGGGAACTTATACTCAGCATCTCAACGTCAAGCTGCCACAGCTTTGAAATGTGTCTGTGAGCATCTGTGCTTCACTTCAACTGGATTTGTGCATCTGTTAGCAAGATGTGTCCTCAGGTATCAGAAAAGTCTGAGAGAGCTCCTAAGGGTGTTAAACTTAATGTAAAACTCTGCGTAATGAAGGGTTCTGATTGTGAACAAATAAAGACATTGCACATAAATTGAATTTGCCTGAACCCACCATTGGTCCTATGTACATGCAGAGCTGGAGAATCATGGAAACTGCTGAAGTCTGCTTGGTTCTGCTGATAGTGAGGTTGCCTCTTTCAGTCTGCATCCAGTAGTGTATACTATGGAATATCTATTGCTGGAGTGCATTGTTGGGTGTACCAAGCTTAGTGTATATTTATTATACCATCCCTGCTTTTACTATAAGTTAGTGTTATTTTAGGTTTTCTGTGTCAGCTGGTATGATTTGGTAGTTTAGGGTCTAACTTACCAATTATTTTGGGTCCGGTAACACTCAAAAAAATTTTTTTTGGTGTAAATTAATAGTAATTGCTTCTTCACTTTATGCCATTTTATTTTATGAAAAGTTTCATGGAAATAATCTACTTTAAATAATCTACTATAAATAATCCTATATAATAAATGTGAAGTATGCAAATTGTCCCCTCCACTGGGAGTGTTTCCAGAGTTCAACCAGGGGGTGGGGCTGGTGGAGGAAGGGAGGGAGTACCCAGCTGGCTGCTGCCAGCTGCTAGGGACCATACCAGTTCACTAATTCCATGCACGGGGCCTCTAGTCAGTTTAATGAAAGATTG